CCCCCCCCCCCCCCCCCCCCCTTGACTGCAAAGACTTTCGACACGTCCCCGTCTGCAAAGACTTTCGACACATCCCCGTCTGTGGTGATGGTCTCGAACGGGTTACTTTGTCTGTCAGTGATTTGGCAACGGTATGTTTTCTACATAACGAAAAGTTATATATTGACGAAAGATTCTGCTACATTTTATGAAGGAAGTAACAAACGCCGAAGACCACCGAAGAGCCCGTGTTCCACTTCCAGGGAGTATGGTCTATTGGCTAATTTTAATGAACTTGCTTCCTTATATCTTTGTGCGGCATAATCACCTGAACATGGAACGTGGGAGGTCGCAGTCGAATCCAGGAAGTTATTTTTTTATTTTTTTTGATATGACTCATCGAATCCATCTCTATATGAGAAAAAGAGTCTGAGACACTTTTTTGTGAGTGACCAATCAGACAATCATTCCGAGTTCCCTGTTCAGTTTTCCCTGTCCTGAAAAGGGACGTTCGTACACGCCCTGAGCGCTCAGTTGGAACGTAAAAACAGTTGGAGGTATTTTCTTGGTCATCACTTTGGATGCCTATCATCAACCAAAATGATGGTTAGCGATTCCTCTTTTGCAATGTTTTCGTTGTTGCTTAGAAGACAACACAAAACCCGGGTTTCCCTCTGGCCTGGCGTGTTTTTTCACTGCATCACGTGATCGTGGCGGCAGGTCTAGGTACACTCAACGCTGATCCAACACTCGACGCGGTCGATTCCCGTGGTCACAGGTTAACTTACCGTAAAAAGGTACACTCAAATAAACTGGCCCCGAATGGTCCGCAATTCAATAGAAATCAACAACAGTTGTTGTTGTTGTTGTTGTTTTAGCGAATCTTTAGGTCTAACCGATGTTGCACTTTGCGAGGCTAGGTTCCTCACCCTAACCCTATCCCTCACCCACGGCCAAAGCACGACCTAGCGGCCGCGGACTGGTCGAAAACGAGGCTGCGCCGCGTTCTCGGAATGCGGAACAGCGAGAGGGCGCTGGAGAGGGTCAAGGCTAGGAACGGACCAATCAGAGGGCATGAAGGCACTGAATGAAACTGACTTTACGATTTTACACATACCTGAACACCGATTATATACTATAGAATATAAAATATGAATACATATGTGAACTGATCTGTTCACAATCGACTGGCCTCGTGCAAACGAAACTCAAAAGCAACAAAAAAAAGTTGACATGTAGCCACCTAGTTTTGAAACATGAGAACGAAGTCGTCGGTGGGGTCTGAACCTCAGTTCTTCTCAGTGGACGTGTTTTATTTGTTATGTTTAGACTAGTGCACCCACCTCCGCGGTACCATTTGAGCGGTATTAGGATTTGCCGGTAGCTTTTTGCCGGTACCACGATATGCCGGTACTTTTTAGGCGGGAAACGGTTCTTGAGTTTTTGCCAGTACCGCCTTCGGCGGTACCCGGTTCAGCGAATTATGACGGGAACGCCGGCGAGTACCGGATCCGCCTACCAACCCCGGGAAAAAAACCCGGGAAAATTCCCGAGGAGTACCCTGGTAAATAGTCCGGGATGATTGGCAATTTATTCATGGCAGCAAAGAGAAAATGTGATGACCAACGTGTTTTTTCTACGGTTCCCCGAGCAGCTTATGGTGTAGACAAGCGATATCTCCCCTGTGGGTGACAGCCTCGACAACACAAGATTGTTTGGTTTTTCTTCTCGCATAGATACCACGCTGCCGTAGAAAAGAACCACTGCGTGACAAAAACGCCATGCACCCTCGCACGGGGACACGCAGGCACGACGTAATCATGGTGGACAACCTGTCGAGGAGGAGGATCGATCTTGAGCTAGGCTGCGAGTCGCTGACGCCAATCCAGAGCCCACAGACCCGAGTCAAGGTGAGAGTAAGAGCACTTGATGCTGACGGTAGGTATGTAGCCTTGGCGAGGACAGTATGCTTGAGGTATGCGTTCGAGGCGGGAGTTACCGTAGGGGACACAAGGTACCGCACCCCCCCCCGGACCGATTTGTCAAAGCTAGACTACTCGACGAGGAATGAAGAGGATGTCAAAATCAAGTCATGTGTTTCGGAGAGGTCTCGACGAGACAGACGGTTCCAACGCCGCTCTTTTCGTCACCGCCGCTGTTTCTTCCGTGGAGTTGTGCTCGAGCCTTGAAAACCGGTCCGGGGGGTGTGGTGTCTCGTGTCGCCTGCGGTAGGGTTAGGCTCTCGAATTCCCCCCCTAAACCGAATCCGAATAGTTTTCACGAAGCGTCGTTTTTAATGAATTTCTAAAAATTGAATTCGTGAATGCGTGTGTTTTGCTCGAACGTGTCTCTCTCTCTCTCTCTTTTTGTTTTTTTTCCAGACCTGGAAGGAGGTGACGGGGCGCGAGATCAAGTACGTGAACATCGACGTCGCCAAGGAGTACGAGCTGCTGCTCAAGCTCTTCAAGGAGCACAAGCCCGACACGGTGAGTGAGATACTGGCTGCTGTGAGGGAGATGGTGACGTGCTACGGCCTTTCCCAGCACGTGTGCACGCCACTGGCTGTGCTTTTACAATAATAGCATCTTCCAACGGTTTTCGTGCCGACTCACGCGACGCCGAACCAGTTCGGATCCGTGCGATTACCAGCAGCCACACCATGCCATTCTTTACCGCAAGGCTCTTTTTTTTTTTTTTTCCCATCTATATCTGGATCGCGGTGCTGACGAAGCTCACTGATCGGGAGAGCGGGCACACGACGCGGCTGCATTGCCGACGAGGATTGGTGGGAGACAGTCCACGTTCTCGGGCCGCGATCAACAAGCAGAATTAGAAGCGCCTCGCCAGAAACGAGGGTGGCACATTCGACCGAAACTGCGGCACCTCGCACGCATGACGCAACCAAATACCCCAAGCTCTCTATTTGTGTTGTGCGTTTTTATTGTTAGCATCGACCGCGCCAACCGGCTGACCAATGAAGAGACGTCAGTCTCAGTGCGGTTGAAAGCACAAAACACTTATAAATGCCGTTCACTGGGACCCTGTGTGTGTGTTCGTCCCATATATTCTGGCGCCGGTATACCGGCTTTTTTTGGCGTGTTCACGTACCTGACGTATGAGCCGGGGTGACACAAGAGGAAGGTCACACCAGTGTGGAGCTTTTTTTCATATTTTTGCTATTGTTTTGTTACCCCACCTTTCCGTTCCCGGTGCGGTGCTGAAGGGTTCAGTCATCCCCTTCACTCGTCGACCCTGAAGCCGAAGCGTGTTTGCTCTGTTCACGCGAAAAATACGGCGAGGATATTGCACCTTACGGAAGTACGTCATGTCATGTATCGGCTCGCCCCCGTCGTGTGCCGAAACTGAAATATGGCGCTCGTTGGCGGAATGGTAGCTTTTTTTTTCTGGGGGTGAGTCGGTTCGGTTGTGGACCAGAGCGTTCTTTTGTTGGACAAGTAGTAGGCCTACACAAGCGCAACAAAGCCAAAGACCTTGGGCCTGCCTATGTCGGACAGAGCAGGTATTGCGAGAGCGACGGTAGCGGCTGCTACACTACACACATGTAGACGGGGAGGTCCCTCCATGCATGTATTTGGCCGCGAGATTGATTGGCACTCCCCGAACGCCCGGCTCTATTCCGAGTAGGAATCAACTTGAATATTTCCATCCGTGTCTCACGCGGCGATTTCACCGGCACCACTACACCGGGACAACAGCGTGGCACTACATCAAACCGGCACTGTATCTACATTGCTGAGGGACCCCCTCTATCACTTCACTGCTGTCTGTACCCGCTGTGCACTCTTCTTTTTTTTTTTTTTGCGTTCAGGTGATCCACTTCGCGGAGCAGAGGGCCGCGCCGTACTCGCAGAAGGGCTCGAGGGAGAAGCGGTACACGGTCGACAACAACACCGGGGGGACGCACAACATGCTGGTGGCGATCGTGGAGTCGGGCCTTGACATCCACGTCTGTCACCTGGGGACCATGGGGTGAGAGAGACGCAGCACCGACATAGAGACAGCAGGAGTGGTGATAGCATTAGCACGGTTATTTACTTACCCCCCCCCCCCCCTGTTGTTGCTCTTCTTCGGGGAGAGGCATTGGTGATAAATCAGGACAGTCGGGGACATAGGCCTTCGCGAACGTCGACGAAGACATAGGACGGTAGACGACGAAGACGACAAGTTCAAATGTCATTGCGGCTTCGAATGCGAAGACAGTGTTCATGTAGTCGCGGAATGTCCGTGGTACGAAAAGGAGAGGGAAGTGTACATGACTGAGCTGGGAAGAATACAAGGGACGTACAGGGAGATGTTTGAGGCATGGAATAGAGAGGAGAGGACGGTAGCGGTACTGGGGAGTAGGAAGTTTTGAAAAGGCGGGAAGTGACATCGGTAGGATAGACAGACTAGGGAAGACACTTTTGAGCCACCTTTGGCAAAGTAGGAAGGAACGATTGGCCATCGGTGATCGGTCCTGTGGGAACAATGCTCCGTCCTCTCGAGGACGCGTGGTCAATGGTCTAACCGCTAAGGCATGCAAAGCATAAGAGTACGCCCCCCCCCCCCCCCCCCTGCT